GTGTGGTGGTTAGCCTGTGTTGTTGGGTTTTTCGCATTTCCCCCACGACTGTTATGTGCTGCAGTGTTCCTTCACTGCTCTTCCTGCATCTTCTCTTTATTTGGTTTATGTATTACGAAGGAAATATTTATTCGATACTATTGCACGGCTACACTCAACCAAGCTTTCATTGAGTCGTTTGTAAGGTGATTTACGCACACGTGCACACACTGGAGAAGTGATATGTTTTCGTTGGGCGTGGTGGAACGCTCCTGGGAGGAGGAAGGTGAACGTGTGCAGCAGCAGCAGCAGCAGCAGCAGCAGCAGCAGCAGCAGCAGCAGCCGGTGCCAATGATGAACAAAAGTGGTGAATATGTAATGGAATCCGGGGCTGCGTTGACGTTTACGCCGCAGATGCGCAGCAACTTCCCCGGACAAGTGGGCCGACGTTCGCCGCCGTTTTTTGGCAGCACTCCGCCGCCGTCGCAGCAGCAGACGTCATCCGCATCATGGTCGCGCTATACAGCACTGGATTTTGAACTTCTTTTGCACGAGGGAAGACAACCAACAGAAGACATGCGTCGCTCAGTGGCGTATACGAGATGGTACAACAGCAAGCGTTTACATGAGAGTCAGTTGCTTCCGCCACTGACAGACCCCCGCTACAATTCAAGGGATATTATTGAGGAACCATGGGAAAACACCTCCGCAGTGCGTATGGCGGGGCCAATGAATCTGGCTGGAGGGGGTGTGGTGGAAGCTGGGAAGGGAAACTTTCGCTTAGAGCTGGATGCAAAGAACCTGCAGCAGGCCCAAGAACAGCACGCTTTTAACCCCTATGCAGCCGCGTTTCAACAACATGATGATAATATGTTGAGCCCAGGGACACAGTTCTTTGGGGCGTATGCGCCAACACCGTTAGCAACGACGGCCACGCCGAATACGTTACGTGCTTACGCTCACTCTCGCATGGGGGCACAGAATAGCAGTGCTGTTTCCAATCCTGAGCGTGACATGCCCCAAGCCGTACCCCCTATGCCCACCCAAACTCTCTATACTGAATGGAATACCACGACGGACTTTTGCCGGGGAACCAATGCGTTGCCAAGTGTAAATCAACAATACTATACACAAGAGCCTATGAATCCCTTTGAATATTATACAGACTCTACCATGGCCGGTTGTTACAACGCAGCTGTGACTGGCATGCCGGATCCGGCAAATGTGCAGTCCGCATTTATGACGATGGTACCTGTCACTGACTCAAGTGCCATGCGGGGTGGTGGCCGTAGTAGGCGGGGTGGTGGAGGTGGCGGAGGCAGAGGACGTGGGGCAGGCAGTGGAAAATGGAACCCTGTTGGTGGAAAATCGTCAGGCCGTGGTACATCCTACAGCGAACCGCTTCAACCACGTTCTGCGCGTCTGGAAGAATTTCGTCTAGATGCTATGAACGGGACAGTCAGTCATTGGCACATTTCTCATATTTTGGGCTATGCGGTGGAATTTGCCCAGGACCAAGAAGGTAGTCGATTTATTCAGAGGGCTGTGGAAAGTGCAACCCATGATGAGGTGGATGCTCTCTTCCATGAGATCTTTGAATCCCCACTGGAACTTGTGACGGACATCTTTGGCAATTATGTGTTACAAAAGCTTCTTGAAGTAGGTAATGCACGGCAGCTTGCATACGCAGCTACGCGATTCCAAAACAATGTGGTGCCTCTTACCCTTCAAACGTACGGTTGCCGTGTAATTCAAAAGTGTATTGAGGTGATGCCACCTGAAGGACTAGACATTATACTGGCGGAGCTTAAGGGAAATGTGGCGAAGTGCATTCAAGACCAAAATGGAAATCATGTTGTGCAAAAGTGTGTGGAAGTTACTCCGCAACGTTGTGGATTTATTGTACAAGCCTTTACAGGACGTGTGATGGAGCTGGCAACTCACGCCTACGGTTGCCGTGTAATTCAGTGTATCATGCAACACTGCCCGGACCAAGAGGAAACCATTTTTTCGGAGTTATTAAAATGTGTTGATACCCTGGCAAAGGATCAATATGGAAACTACGTCATTCAACACGTGCTACAAAATGTGAAGGATGAGGATAAGGTGACTCGCGTTTTCAATGCACTAAAAAAGAATTTTTACGAGTTTAGCAAGCAAAAATTTGCCTCTAATGTCATGGAAAAAATCTTTATTCGCGCTGACCCGAGACAACGCACCGAAATTATTCAAATGCTTTGCTTCCCTGTGGAAGGTCTAGAAGTGTCACCTGTGGAAGTTTTGGCCTTTACACGTTCAGCCCCAGTAAAGAAGGACGAGACAGAGAAGCACCGTAATGGTTACCCGAAGAAGGGTCGACGTGAGAAGGAGCGTGAACGTGAAAGAGAGAGTACCGGTGGGCCAGTGGTAGAGGTGCACTCGGACGGCAAAGAGCCACCAAGCATGCTGTGTCTCATGATGCAAAATCCTTATGCCAATTACGTTGCCCAGCGAGTCCTAGATGCGTGTGATGCGGAGCAATTTTGGTCTCTTGTAAACAATATTCAGAAGTATCTGATACCCATCAGTACCTACACGTACGGTGCACCCATTGTGCAACGCCTGGTCCGCCGCGAACTGGTGAAGGCTCCCGACGATCTCGTCTTCAACCTCGCTACCGCCCATTCAGGTGCCGGGGGGAAGGGCAGCCACGCCCATCACCGCAGGAAGGTTGCTGAAAGTGACAACGCCGCGTAGTACTTTCACCTCAGGTCACTGCTCAAGAAGGATACGAAGTGAGATGAGCACAGGATGGGAAGAGTAGAGCGAAATCAATATAAAGTAAAGCAAGAGGGCGGGGAGGAAGAACTCTCCAACGCACTCAGGAAAAACAGAGAGGGAGTGGGGATGGAAAGAAGAAGCAACATGACTTAGAGCAAGATGTGATGAACTGAGCTGTTTCCACTCACCCACATGCACTTCAAGTTTGTGACTACTGTCACTCGTGTAGTTTGCTTGATTTTTTTTTTCTTTCACCTCTTCCTCTATGCCACACGGCAACGTCTCTCGTTCGTTCCCGTCGATGAATATATATATATATATATATATATATATATATATACGCTGTCGTTGTTATGTGTGTCGCGCCG